TATTTGCTTAAGTCCTTATTTTGTACTGATTAATGTTTTACTTAAATCGAAATGAATACTAACGCAATTTCTCCAATGTAGACGAGATTTACTATGACAATAATTCCACTTCCCAAGCCCTGAAAAACTCTGCCGACATAAATCATCGCAAGATTGTTCGCAGTGGCCATAAGTAGAAAGGAAACGAGTAAAAACAGCCCACCTAAGTAGAAGCATGGTTTTCGACCGAACGCGTTACTCAGATATCCACTTATGTAAGGTCCTGGAAATTAAAGAAAATTTATCTACGCCGCATCTATCTTATGTTAAAATCCTAGTTTCTCGTGGTATACAAAGGAATAATTAACATGAAATCAAATCGGGCCATAAATTATTTTTAATTTTAATTCTAAGTAATAATGACTTACTACTACTACTTTACTGCTTGGTCTATGGAAGTATACTTGTTTGCTTAAAACTGAAGTACCTGGAGGACCGCTTTTTTTGGTAAATCGTAAATTTTGGAAATTAAAAAAATAGAAAAATAGAAAAACAAGTAAAAAAAATAAGTGTGTAAATTGATCGTGACACGAACCGCGGCCTTCTGTTTCGTGGCCGCCCGATTACCGAACGAGCTATTATAACATTTTTTTTTTTTGGGCGAAATTTACCGTCATATTCGAATGATATTTTTCATTCCCTGAAAACAGGGATAAAAGGACATTTTCTAAAAATGAAACCATATAAACTTACGCACATACTAAATTTCATGAATATCGCTGGAGCCGTTTCCGAGATTCCGATTATATTTATACAAGAATTGCTCGTTTAAAGGTATTAATAATAATATATATATATATATAGATATTCTCTAAGGCGCGTACGTACATCGTTATGAGTTAAGGACTTAATTTTACGTGATTACCACCTTTAACGATAATCGAATTTTTTGGTTACACTACGTCAAGCCTACATAGGAAAGCATAAATATCAAACTGCCTTATTGAGACCTAGTCGTTATTTTTAATATTTTAATCGTAATTTTAGTTACAATACTAAATCCTTCGGCCTTTCGTAAATAAATAAGATAATAGGACTTTACCTACCGGTAATAGATCCAACGTATACAATAGAACCTATTAATGATATCTCTGTTTCGGAAATTTGAGAGGGTAGCGGAGTCTGCTCTGGATCCTGTAGTTTAGATACAACTGGGGCCGTCCATCCCATTCCGTACCCTACTATAATTTGTCCTACGTAACCTAGAAAAATTAAATTTAGGTCGGTCTAATATTTGATATTAAAATGTTCATGATTTTCTATTCAATTTCTTCGTGGAAAGTACATTTTTTACTAAATTTATTTCAGCCTTACATTCTGCTATTAAAATTATTATATTGTATTACCAATTAGTTATGTTTTATTATTTTAAACAAGTCTTCATTAAAACCATGCGTATTATAGTTTATGTTTTCCATTTGCAAGTCTTATTCTCATCCCTCTGTAATGTTTAGAATATGGCATGAAAATGTTAATGCCGTATTTTATTATAATGCGTAACTGACTCTAATATTAAAATTCGTATTGTGAGGATTTTAGTTACAACGACGATTCATCTACATATTGACTCGCTTATTTCATCATCTTAATTTCAGACCGCCACGAAGCACGATCCTGAGCCTTCAGTATTTGTCGACTTCCCGCACATTTAAACAGGTCATCACTCCATCTGGTATCCTTGTATAGTATGATGAAAAATACGAGGCTGCCACTCGAAAAACTTTCTTCTCAATCGGTTTTCGGTTCTTAGGCAGGTCCCATGCCACTTCAGCTTAATAATTCTCTGAGCTATACCTTTATTATACTGCAGATGTCTTCACTACAAACTCTTTTAAGTAAAATTTTGAAGTTTCTCCCATTTCGTCGTCTATATACTTTTCATAGTAGTAGAATTATAAATTGAATTTTACTCACAGCTTGCGGCAATCCATAATTGTCTTTTAAAATAATCTTGCATTTTGTTGTATTAATTTTATTTTTTAATATGTTCAATATTATTATAACATTAAATAAACATTACATATAAGTGAATATCATCAATACTTCACGTTTTCCTATCTTTAAATACTGCAGGTACAAATTATTTGGTCATATTGCAAGTGTGAAAAGAATTAAGCGTAACGTGGAAGCTTTATCGTATATGATAACTTCTAACGCTTATCGCAACGACTACAAGATAATGAAATACAACATACAATATATATATATATATATATATATGATGGGAATGACTTGCAGTTACTCGTTTCTTTAATAGCACCATGCATATATTAGCAGGACATTAAGGGTCTCGAGGTGTTTGTGAGATTCTAGGGTCCCGAGACGAATGCGTATCTATTTATTATTTGTAATATATTCATGTCAAATTGTTTATTTAAAAAAAATGAAAATCCCACAGAGTTTCTTTCGCCGGTTCTTTTCAGTACGGTGACTATCTTTTCCGAACCAGTGCCCGTGGTAGTATTTTTACTATCAATAAGCGAGTATAATACTCCTATGTTGAATATAGATATTTGATTTCATTTATGTTGTTTATATTAACGACATGTCAGCGTTGAACTTATTTCAGCATCCACTTTATTGGAACATTTCTTCATAAAGAGCTATTTTCCCTTTGTAGCTGTTGAGGGAATCAAGTAGCTATTATGGTAGGATAAAAATAATGAAAAACGTTTTTCAAGGCAACTTATAAAATTTAACTTACTTTTAGTATGTTCAATTAATAATGATGATAATAAAGTATTTATTCGCAGAGATAAATCCATCAGGGGTCGTGAGTTCGATTCCCACACGCACCAACTATTTGCGTGACACACGGATAGTTGTTTCGCATCTGTTTTTGTCCTCGTGAAATTTATGTTTTTTAAACGTCGTTACAACACAGGATAATGTTATCCTAAAGTAATGGCAATTTTTTTTTTTTTTAACAAAAAGAAGAAAAGAAAGGGAATATAAATAATTATTCTCGACGTCTTATCTACATTGTTTTTATTGCATGTGCAGCAATGATTCGTGTTATCTAATGTGATTGAGGTATCAGCTATCACACTTAATTTTTGTAACATAACGTTACATACTCGTATATTAGGTTTGTAGTTTTGTACGTTTCAATTATTTTTTAAAGTTAACAATGAATTTCGTTAATTAATTAGGTAAATAAACGGCTTAGGTGAATTCCTATAATTTAAAGTATGAGACAAAATTATTAATTGGTCATTTAAGGGTACTTTAGTAAAACGAAACAAAAAAAAATACATAATAAAAATAACTAAAACAATAAACTATAGTTTAGTGTTTTAGTTCCTTAACATTGAGTGACCTTTTAAAATTTGTAGAAAAAGTACGAAAAGATTGTCGCCGCTGTGGAAATCGAACCCACGTCTTCGGCATTCGCGGCCTGACGCTTCAGCGACTAAGCTAAACGGCTGATTGAGTGACGTATTTTTCTAACTTCATAATTTGCAAATATTCGAAATGACATGATAAGCACTTTTGACTGCAGTGCGGAAGGTCATTCGAAAGACGCAGGTGCCAGGCTCTGGAAGGTCAACGGTCCCATGCAAAGGCAGCCATCTCGAAGCTAATCCGGGCTTTCAGACGCACTAATTTATCTATATATTTACTTTTTTATGCACATATTTATACTTACATATATGTTACATTTTATGGCACATTCATTAACTTTCATTTTTATAGTCTTCATTTAGCACCTTAGATGGTAGGTGCTAAATGAAACTATAAAAACTGGTTTTCAAAAGCTGGTTTTCACCATGACAAGGGTTGACTTGTAGAGAATGCCATTAGGCATTAAGTCCGCCCATTGTAGCCCTTTGCTTAAGGTGTAGCAATGAAGCTTAAATAAATAAATAACCGGAGAGCCCAGGTTCGAATCCTGTAAGCAGTTGAAGTAGACTATACGAAGAATAGAATTTATATGGAAAGGACTTTTACACTAAAAGTGCAAAAGTAACATCATTTTGTTACTTTTGCACTTTTAGAGAAAAATTTCAACATATATGGAGTATAATATACTCGTAGTGTTATCATTCAATACAATTGCCTTTCTAAACATAAAACGAGTTTATTAAATATAAATGTATTATTCACATAATATGACGGGTTGGGCGAGATGAACTCTTTTGCATCGGGGCATATCATCATCGTAGTTTACGCATGTGTGGGATATTAAAATTCCTTCACAAGAAATATTTCTTTCAACCATAAAAAATACAAGTCGGTTCTTTAGACATTCTGTATTCACAAAACGGGAGCCATGTACACCGCTGTGCTGTACTTTTTACAAAAGGTTCAAATTCTTTTTACTCTATCCTGCTGGTCACTCATTTCATTACATAAAAAACGGCCATTATCTTGTTTGTAATTGTATTTGTATTAGAACCCATACAACTCAGAGGACTAACTAATAATTGGCGTCAACTACGTATGTACGGCGACACCCTTTAATTTTAAAATGTTGTTATTTTTTGGAATTATTCCTTTATTTGTGCTGTAAGTCCTTGCTTTTTGGCAAATTTCTTAATTCTAGGTCAAGGGGACTATCGTGTTTTCGACCAAAATCCATAGGGTACTTTCGATTGACCTATCAATTTTGGTTAAAAGCAAAATTCCGAATAATAAAAAAGGTGAAAAATAAGGAAAATTTTGGTACTTACAAGTTTTCGCGAAAATCTAAATTTGGCCCATATGTTTTTATCGTGTTGACTGAAAATCTTGAATTTTTATACAACAAATAGGGACTATAAGCCTGAGTATCTGATATAAATTTAAACTCGCTAGGTTCTCACCTGTTCCTGAGAAAATCGGTGGTGACACACGGACCGACAGACGGAATCTTTTTTTCCTTTTGAGGTACGGAATCCTCAAAAACGAATGTCTTCCCAATTGTATAACATTTCATTGAAAACGCTTTGATGAAAAAAGAAATAAGGTAAACGCAGTTATTTATTTAACATAAACTGTATCTCGTCTAAAGTCTTTCCTTTAGTTTCCGGCACGAATACCAAAGTGAAAAGGAAAGCCAAAGCACACATGCCCGAGAATATCCAAAAGGTGATGTGACTTCCCAGCTCCGAGACCATGTAACCGAAGATAGTCGTCAAGCCGAAACCGAACAACCAACCGATTGTGGCACTTACAGTTGACCCTGTACTTCTAACGTTAGAATGGAACATTTCCCCGATAAGTGTACCGGGAATAATACCGAAACCTGAAATAAAAACGTTCGATATGTTAGTTTGTCATTCATTGACGCAGCAACGGAACTAAAGGATGCTATTTTTCTGTAAAAGAATAGCTTAGGTTGAAGAGTAATATAGCCTTAATTTTATATGGATAACTATATGGTATTTGAAGAAAAGATTATTTAAACACTTTACAAAACAGACCTATGATGTACGAGGGCTATGATTTATAATTCTGAATCCAAGAATTAATGTCCCGGAAGCTCTACTAATCGTAAGTAACATTATGAATGTGACCAACCAAATGTTTTTTTTTAATACTTTAATCTTGCATAGGCTCAAGTGGCTCAAAATCAAAATAAGTAAACCTACAGAAATTTTAACGTCTGATGGCGACAAATTCAATTTATTTATAAATATTTTTTTTTTATTATAATTTAGAACTTCAAAACTTACCAAAATCGTATGAAAGGAAGAAAACTATCAGAGTCACTAGTGGTAGCCACTGTATACTAGATACTAAGGAGTGATCAATAAGGTCCAAATAAAAGTAAACACCGAGGGTCGTCTGTAAAAATTCAAAAAGGGTTTTAATCTATATTTGATTTTGATATCTATGATAGAATACTTACCAAACTTAAACAGCATACTGTCGTTGAGAATAACAACAAAATCTTTCTTCCTACTCTTTCCACAAATAAAGGTGTTAAGGTGCTCCCAAAAATTTGGGTGACACCGATTATTATAGTAGCTATGTTTGGTTCAATCGAAGAACCTGCTAATTGAAAGATTGTTGTCGCAAAGAAGATGACAGCAACGACCCCGCTGCCTTGCTGTAGCAGACCTAATATAAGTGTGATGAAAAAAGCCTTTCTATTGCTTTTCACTGTCAATATCTGTTTCCATTCCTCTAAAGCGCTTCCCATTTCGATATAACATTTCAAGTTTTCGACATCATGACACTCATCCGATCTTCCTAAACTGTTCATTACCTCGTTTGCCGCAGCTTTTCTGTCTGAAAATTGTTACATATAACTAAACGAATATATAAAAAAAATGCATAGTTTTGCAATCCTCACTGAAATCCTCACTAATGGAGTATGTTAGCTCTAATCAGGTTTGATTTACTTAGTAACTTTGGAACTTATAGGGCTTCAAAGTTAGTAAAAAGCCTAGTTAGTAAAGTACACGAAGCCTAGAATAGTAAGGTGATATTTTTCAAGAAATACCCAGATAACTTATAAAGGACCAGACAAATTCAGAAAATATTGCCTTCATTGCCAATGCAATTTCTCGCGTTACGTCACAACACGTTTACACAAATTGTCGCTTAACGTAATAACGCTTTTTTTCAAATTGTCTTACACACTTAAGTACAAAAGCATCGCTTCTTATATTTGAAAAGTTCTCTCAAATATTCTTCATTCTTTTGTTAAAGTATTATTTTATCACTTGCACAATAATTGTTTTCCTCAGTCGAATTGAGTGAGGTATCGATTGATAGTTGGACGGATTATATTTTATACTGGGGTAGAGGACTAAAAGCGTAAATAACAGCTCCTGATGTACGAATAGACAAGCTCGATCTATCACGCCTTCTGTAAGGCCGTTGGTCTTCTCTCGGATCTTCTGACCGGCATAAAATATGCCTTTTATGCTTTAGAGTTTCAACCGATTAGTGAGATAAGAGAGACCTCAATCGTTTATTGTTCTGCGGTAATTCTCACTTATAATCAGGTAAACAGCTTGTTCAAATGCCTTCAATTTTGAACAGTTCAAATCTTATTTCATATCAAAAAAATATGCATTGAAATAATATCAAGTATACCTTTCAAAAGAAGAAAGGTAGGAGATTCCGGTATGAATATAGTTCCAAATATGTATAATGCCGTAATGCCCACAGGTATATAAGAGACGACTGGATAGGTGACGTACGGACCAACAGAATAAACGATCAGTGTCCCAAGTGTTGAAAAAATTGCTGTTCCAGTCAACAAAATTCCTCGAATATTATTTGAACTGAAAAATAAGCATCAATAATGAAAAAAAAGCAATATGGACAAAAATGCTAAAAGTAACATTAGATAGATTATAGATTATAGATTAGATTAGTAGATGTTATATTTATTAAGTCATTATTATATACTGATTGATCGAAAATTAATACTAACGCAATTTCGCCAAGGTAGACGAGATTCACAATGAAAATAATTCCACTTGCCAAACCGTTAAAAACTCTGCCGACATAAATCATCGAGAGATTGTTCGCTGTGGCCAAAAGTAGAAAGGAAATGATTGAAAAGAGCCCTGCTAAGTAGAAGCATGGTTTTCGGCCGAGCGCATTGCACAAATATCCACTTAAGTAAGGTCCTGGAAATTAAAGAAGGCTTAATTAAACCACATTTATCTAGTTTAAAATCCTAGTTGCTCGTCATATTTATATAAACGTAAAACCAACTAATCTAAAGTCAAATCAGACCATATCATATTTGTTAGGAAAAAAATTTGCATAAAACTGAATATTCACTAAGGATTGAATGCACCGTATTCACCGTAGAAGTATGAGAATTAATTTTACGCAACACTAAAACTATCGATGTCCTTCCAATCCAATCCAATCCAATCAGCCTTTTGCAGTCCACTGCTGGACATAGGCCTCCCCAAGGGCACGCCACAGAGCACGATCTTCCGCTTTCCTCATCCAGCCACTACCAGCGACCTTTCTCAGGTCATCAATGTCCTTATATAAAGAAAAAAGTTAATAGAAGTTTACTTACCGACAATAGTTCCTACGTACAAAATGGAGCCTATTAATGACGTCTCTGTTTCCGAAACTTCCGAAGGTAGCGGAGTCTGCTCTGGATCCTGTAGCTTGGGAATGACTGGGGCCGTCCATCCCATTCCGTAGCCAACTATAATTTGTCCTAAGTAACCTAAGAAACTTAAATTTAGGTAGGTAGGTCTCATATAAAGCAAGAACACGAGATGTGTCGATGGCTGAATGTTCATTGCTTTCTTCTCCTTTTTCATAAAAATAATTACGCTTCTTCTAAAATCACATTTTATTCTAAATTGATTTCAGTCTTTCAATCTGCTATTAAATTTATCCTATTTATAGCTGAACCCGGCCACGATTTGATGTGCCTTGAAATTCGGAGTAAAAAGTTTATAAAAACACTCTCGTATTCTATAGCTATGTTGTGCATAAATATCAAGTCAATCCATACATAAACATACGGAAGAATTCTTATATATGTGTGGATAAAGAAAATATTTCAAAATTTGGTTTTCTTAAATCAAATAACTCTCACATGTTTATCATGACAACATTTTTATTAAAAATTCAACTTAACTTTGGTTACGTTTTATTTTCATCATAGAATTTTTTAATTAAAAGATGCGAGATAATATTGTTGCGGTTGTTTTTAGTACAAGATACCTTATGTAATATTAGATTTCGAATTTATAGTAGTTTAGTTACAACATTGATTCAACTACATATTGACTTCTCTATATATTTATGGTCCCTTCCATTTCCTTCGCCTTATAAATGTTCTCCTTACATATCTTATTTTAGGTAATTAGAAAGTATTAATGAAATTTTACTCACAACTTGCAGAAATCCACAATTGTCTTTTTAGGTAATCTTGCATTTTGTCACATTTATGTTCTTTTTAGTATGTTCTATTATTGTTATATTATATTGTTTCAATAACACACCGAATTAATTTTATCAATACTGTACTTTTTTCTATCTCCAAACATTGCAGGTGCAAAAACTTTGGTCATATGGCGAGTGTGAACACAATTTAGCGTAGCGTAAGAAAAGCTTTATCGTTTATGATAACTACTTATTTTGACGCTTATCGAAAGAAGTATAAGATAACGAAATCGTTATAATCTCTATAATTTAATGAAAGTGCATTATATCTCTATATACTTAAGGACCCATAGCAGATCAAGAGCTCTTTGAAAGAATTTGTTACATCCCCGCGCTTGCTTAATCCGGCACTGATTTGAATTGAGGGTAGCTCGGGTTAACTTTCGTGACGTGAAATAACTCAGTCAGTCCCGTGACCTCATGGTCACGGGACTGACTGAGTTAACTACTGACTAACTGAGAACTGACATCCCTGACATTCCGAATTCAATGCAGCATTCATATGCTGCATTGAATTCGGAACGTCAGGAATTAAAAATCAAAATTAAACCGCGATAAAATCCGTAAACCAATTTCTTTTAACATGTAGGCGCATTCGCAAGTATAATGTTGGCGTAAAATGAAGAAATCAATACGATGTCAAAAGGTTTGGGTATGCGACCCCGACCCTCGATTTTAATTCGAGCATCCATTACACTCCATCACACCTGCGTTCACAGAATGCGTCTTGCAAGGCTACGAGTATTATGAGTTGAATACATTAAATAAACGATCCTTATGCTTGAGTTATAAAGTAAACTTTCTCTCCTGCTTCGTTTAAGACGAAAATAACGAGATGGCTCCTAGATAAAATGATTCATAATATAAATGACTATCTGTTACCTAATACTGACATTGAATAATTTCACATAGGCATGTAATTACCGTATAATAATTTTAATGTTTTAATGGAATAATTTATTATGTTTAAATGTTTTAATGTGAATAATTGATTATATTTTAAATATTTTAATGTAAATAATTTTATATGAAATTGACAATTGCATGCTGAAGTCAGCTGAATATGTAGCACCAAATTATTATAATTAAGATCACAATGTACTACCATATTCTGGCAATAAAGACATTCATTCATTCATTGATTCATTTCATTTGGTATCAGCATCCATCTCACTTACACATTGTGTATGTCCGTCGCATTATGCGTTAGCATCTCTACCATATCTGTGATGTCCGTCGAACGTGTCTTGTAAGGGCCCGATTACCGCCGCTTTCAATAGCGTTTACGCGTTTAAGTTAGCGATTCCCAAGTTGCCAATATTTTTAAATATCAATCTTTACTTTTGTTCCACAGGTCTGCAAGGGAATCTTATGGAGACGATGCGATTGTGAATGTCCACTGAAGGCGTGGGGTTTGAACAGTTAAGTAAATGTGCCCAGAGCTTGAAGTAAAAGCCAAAACATATAATGTGACGAAGTTTTTTAAAGAACATTATAGCGAAATTATTTGATGTCAGTTCCTTGACTGTGTTACTTCTATTGAAGGATGAAAGCATGCAGTTAATTTTTAATGTGGGTCCATCGTTGCATTGAGGAACATGCATATATTTCCGTAGAGAGCTACTAGAAATTGCCTACCATATCAAGAGTATCTTTATCAAGGAACTACAAAACTATATGACTGTGCTCCAGATATCTTAAAAGTAAGTACTCAACATACCAACTACATAATTTATTACTAAATTTATTTAAGAAGCCAAATTTTTTGCTTTTCGTTTTATTCAGACCTATACTTTTGCTCCTATCATATAATAAATATAAATATAATATAATTGACTGGTTTCAAAGTTATCTCAGTGGTCGTCGGCAGCGTATTCACTTTGATGAAACCCTTTCATCGTGGTGTGATACTACTGCTGGGGTACCGCAGGGCGGCGTGTTGTCACCATTACTTTTTTCTATTTTCATTAATTCAATCACTCAAAAAATGTCTTCTCTCTACCATATGTATGCGGGTGATATCCAAATTTATACCCAGTCAACTCTTGAGAATCTACCAATAGCTATCGCCACTATGAACACCGACTTACATTACATACTGGAGTGGAGTAAATCGCATGGTCTCATGATCTAATCCTAATAAGTCAAAGGCAATAATAGTTGGCAACCGGAACTTTATCTCGAGAATTGACTGGTTATCCTTACCGCCAATTAAACTGAATGGAGTTATAATCCCATATTGTGACTATGTAAAGAACTTAGGCATTTGTCTTGACAGCACCTTAAGCTGGACACGACATTTAAATTAAGTCAGTAGAAGAACTTTTGCAGCTGTTAGTTCCATGCGACGTCTTCGGTCAATTCTTCCCATTCCTACAAAAATTATGCTCGCACAGGCTGTTCTCCTTCCAATTCTTGATTATGCTGACGCCAGCTATGTAGATATTACCGAGGACCAATTAAATAAACTTGAGAGACTTCAAAATACTAGCATTCGGTTCATATTTGGGTTGCGTAAATATGACCACGTTTCTTAATTTCGTATACGTCTCAAGTGGTTGCCCATCCGACTTCGCCGGAATTTGCATATTCTTTGTATTTTGTACTGTGTTCTATTTCATCTCTCTACTCCACTTTATTTAAAGGAGAAATTTGTAGGGCTTCCAGGGGAAGATCTACGTTCTTCGAAGAAGCTCATTTTAAAGGTGCCAAATCACAAAACGTCATTTTTTGAAAAATGTTTTACCGTACAGGCTGTTAAACTCTGGAATTCCCTACCGTTAGTTATTCGTGAGGCGCAAACTATTGGCACCTTTAAGAAATTAGTTAAAGAGACATTATCTGTCTCAGTATATATATATATATATATATATATATATATATATATATATATATATGTATGCTAATATTGCACCACCTATGTAGTAAACGTTCCTTTATGCCATTGGTTGCCAGGAAGAGATCGCTATGAAGCGATAAGGCCGCCAAATTGTTCATTCTATTAATTTGTTTGCCTATTGTTAATTTTGTGTATCCTTTTATGTGTGGTGGACAATAAAGTATTCATTCATTCATTCATTCATAAATATTACTTATTTCGAAGTTATGGTCACCCATAAAATATTTGGATGAAATAAGAAACTGATAATAAGTGCACAATTTATCAACAATTACGCCAAATTGAAATACCTTTTTTTTCATCGTGATTATTAAAATATAAACAATGTAATTGCCTAATCAGAACTTACGAACTAAATGGCGGATATCCTTAGTGAAAATAGCAAGTTAGCATAGTCCTAATCGTGCATTCCTGGAGCTGGGGCAGGTAATACATTTAGTTGTCTTCTGATTAAGAAGTGTCCAGGGGTTAAGGAGAGGAAATCGTTGGGTGACGATTAGATCGGACATAGAAGACGACTATTTAATATTGCTTCCACTTGTGCGAATAAAATTGAAATTTCCTCAAATGTTAAATGAATATTACGTCGTGCAACATATCTACGAAGTGTATGTGTAGTGTTGTGTTATAAAAGCTTCCATAGGCAAATCACACACTACCTTCAAATGCATTTAGCATAAACGTAAGTAGATAAATATACATAAATAGCACATCATTAATGTCGCACCGCGACCCTTAACATTCACGATAAAGAAAAGTCCGGCGTAATTGACTCCTACATACTTGAAGGTCATCAAGTTTTAACCTTAGAATATCATTAAGTGAGAAGCCACAAAATGTAGGAGAAGAACCGTCAAAGACTACTCAAATTCTAGTTGACTCACTGATTTTTTCTAAATGGCCTTTTAGATTAAAGAAACGCCCTTTTGCTAGGCTATAAGAATATTTTGGCAATAGACAGTATCGTTGAAGGGGTTTATACGAAACCTTAAATTTTTTGTACGAATTGCTTTAATTTGAAAATGTTTTTGACATGATATTCTGAGGATCATGAAACGTCTTTTGCTCCGAGAATTTTGTAAGCGCTTTATCAAAATTATAATATGTATATAGAAAACCCGAATCTGATGATTTCATCTCAGAGAAATCGAGGGCAATCCTCAAATTTTATAGGTTTTAACAAATTAGTATTCGGTTTGAAGTCGGTTTTCTTTTTTGTAAAAATTATTTATTGGAATTAGAGCATGATTGCAATAATTATTGTTCGTATAGTTTACAGTGATCGCTCCTGAAATAATCCATCCTAGTTTAGAATTTCGTAAATTTAGATTTGGGAATCCT